TTTGTTGTACATAAGGGCTGCTATTGTTGCACCTCTACATAGCTGAGAGGATACTAGTGGATAAAGGTGCTTGCCCAGAGCATGGAGGGTATCAAGTTAGGTCAGTGTTTGCATTACTCACTCTGCCTCAAGAGATTTCCAGTTGAAGTACAGTTATTATTGAGGTTTACAATAGACAGCAAAATTCAAGCTAGGATTTCATTAATGTTTTTCATATTTATCTCTGTACGTTATAGAAATCCTAAAAATATATTTTGTAAAATGTTTTGAATGTGAACTCATTTTTTTGTTACGTTTATACACATTTATTCCAATGCATGTCCAATTTTATTAAAATTGTGTGAAAGGAAAGGTGTGTGTGTGGTGTCCATAACCAGCCAGGATTTTTATTTCATTTCTTCACCTGTTCTGGAGAGACAGTTGGTTATTAACCTCCCTGGCGGTATGATTTTCTTTTTTCTTTTTTTTTTACTTTTTTCATTCTATTTGTTTTCGGGTTTTTTGGGGGGTTTTTTACTTTTGAATCTCCCCGCCGGTTCCGCCCCCCTGCGACACGGACGCTCGCAAGGGACGGAACCCGGAAGACGAATGCCTGCATCAGCCGGAGGACACAGCGCGGCTCCAGGGACAAGGTAAGAGACGCGCTGTGTATTCCTGAGTGTTGCTCGGGGTTACCACTTATGGTACAGAAAATTAACCCCGAGCCACACTTGGGATTACCGCCAGGGAGGATAACAGTAACATGAACACTTTATCTCCAGTCACTCTCTACAAATGACACCCAATATTCTTTCTAAACAATTTCATTAAAATGCCATTATGTGTGTTGGATGGCATCCCAAGGAGCAGGTATTGGAATGCAGTTTTTTATTCACGCCATGCATTTGGACTCATTAGTACAGTGAACTTGTACACCCCCCAACCTCCTGTTGTCCCATTTAAAATAGGCTGTATTTGTAGCGATCCTCATTATCCTCTCCCCCCAGTGATCAGACTGCAACACTAACTTTGTAGCAAGTGCAAGCGAGGTGAGAAGCAGAATCAGGGATATCCGCTTCAGACATTTGTTCGCATGACATGTCTCAATATACAGCAACAGTTTAATTCATGATCATTCAAAAGCAGTCTTTCAGCTCCGGTTAGGTGACTTTGCCTAGGCTGAGATTATGTAATCTGTATGCAACATTCAGGGGAAAGCATTTCCTCGGTTTCCTCGCCTCCTGTATTCTAAATGAAAGTTAGTTTTTTTTTAAACCATACTTTGGCTCAAAAAAACGGAAGTTACATGCTACAATGCAAACCAGGGGAAGCAATAGCTATGCATGTGCCATAGTTAATATTAACGATAATTGGATGGAACAAAAATATCAGGGACCAAAAATTATTTAAATCTGTTATAAAACAAAGCAACACTATAATTTTTAACCAAAAATATTTATTAATCGTTCATAGTTTTTTGGTGCATATTTTAAGAGTGTTGATTTGTGTTATCTTTTCCACTTTGTTAAAAAAAGAACTGAGGTGAGTGAAAATCACTCAGCCTCATAGTTCGAGCTGACGTGTGACAATGAAACTGTCACACCGGCTCAACAGATCGGGAAGTGAGCGAACACATACCGACGCTCGCTCACTTCTCGATCCTGTCCCCGCAGAGAGCTGTGACTCACTCACGGCTCCCTGCAGGGATTCCCCCTCCTCCCCGCTCCGATTCACCAGCACTGACTGGCGGAACAGATGGGGGAGGGGGCGGGTGCAGCTGGCTCTGCCTCTAGATAGGCAGAGCCAGCTGTCAATCACGCAGCTGGGTAGATCTCGACAGTAATGCCGGGATCCATCCGGCTGTGGCGGTCTCGGTATACAGCAAGCTGTAGCTCACGGAATACTGAGCTATGGGTCACGGGAGGACGCTAGTTTCTGTCCTCCTGTGACCCTTAGAACTATGGGGAAAAACACCCCATAGTTCTCCTTTTTTAATTCAATTTCTTTGCCTACTTTATTATTTTTTTCCATTTTTTTTTTTTTTTTTCTATTTGATCTTCCTTGATAATTTTGTTCGCTCCAATTATCTTAACTCTTTAGTTTGGCACATTCATAACTATTGATTGCCCTCGTTTGCACCCCAGTATGAGACTTCCGGGTTTTTTTAGCTTGCTTTTGGGTTTTCAGCTCACTTCTGGTTACAAATTCTATTCTGGTGCACCCGATTTTTTTCAAGGTGAGATTTTGGCACTTGTTTGGCGTGTGCATGATTGCATACCATCTTTATAAAAGCTGATTTATTCCACTGGCAAATTATAAATATTTAGTGGATTCCTTCAGTTCCTTATTGCAGCATTATATCGTTAGGCACGATGATTCTGTGAGATTCTGTGACCGCCCGGCCATCCACACGGTTTTGTGCACGATTGCCGTGTGGTAACGGATCGCCCACTCCACTCACACAATGCCCCATGCATGCGTTTATTAGCATGCAGATGATAGGGATTGGTTTTAATTTTTTAGATTTTATTTAACTTTTTTGCTTTAATATTTTTTTTTCATTATGTATTTTTTTACTTTATCGCCTTTTTTTTCTTCTATTTTTATGTATTTACATTTTTATTTTTTCCAATTTTATGTCTACATTTTTAAGTGTTATATATTTAATTTTTTACTTGACTTTATTGCGATCACACAAGGGTAACAAGCCCTTGTGTGATAGCTTTTGGAGGTGACAGGTTCTCTTTATTGACCCTGTCACCTCCAACACAGAAGTTCTGGCACAGCTCTATTTCTCCTGTGACAGGAAGGCTGCATTCCTGTTTCACTGCACACATGGAGCAGAGTAGAGAACCGTCCTCTGCCTTGCTCCATGCTCTGGAACCTAATTTGCCGTGGTCATCAATCCCCCACAAGAGGGGGGGACCCTGAAGACTACAGCAAAAAGGAAACCCAGGTGCAGAGAGAGACAGGCAGCTGGGAGCAGTACACGGCCGGCCGCTGGAGATAGCGAGAGGGGAGGGGGGAGTGGAGGGGCGAGGAGAGAAGCGTGATTCAGGCAGGTTACGAGTGATTTTTGGACGACTGCACAGCCGTGTAAAATCACTCGTACAAAACGGCTCCCACACTACATTTAGCAGTGCTGCTTGCCCGCAGCCGGGCTAAATGTAGAAAAAAACTACTCGCCCGACGCCCGAAACTGCCTGTCGCGGGCGTCGGGCGATAGGAATTCCACACCCCTGATCTATTATGGTCATATAACACATGTTCTCCTCAGTTAGGTGTTCCTGTGGAACACCTGTGGGGTTTATAAGTGCATTTTCTTTATATTGCTGTTACAGCCGTAAAATCTTTATATGTGCTTGTTGGTCCATGCTCCATCTATACACCATCTATAAGTGGTAATCCCTTGGCAGAGTGCTCCTCTGTTAACTATATAGGATTTCAAAATTGTTTTTAGGGGGTAGGAGGATATGTCTTTTTCATACTGCTGTATACTATATAAATACTTTTTTATAAGTGCAGTGCAGCTGATTTGTTTTTTTAGAGGATTGTGGTGGTTTTAGATTTTGGTTTGTCCCATGCTGGCATGCAAGGTGGTGCAGTTCACGTTTGGGTTGATTTGCAACAACACAGCCGATAACTGCTCAGGGAACCAGAATTTACACAGTTGTATCATTTCATGTCCAGAAAGCACATGCTGACCCTGGATGGCTTCATCCTACCAGAGAGAAAAGCAAATGAAGGAATTGTCAAGGTGAGTCTTCATCTATGATGATGTATTGGGTTTTAAATGCCCATAAGTGTTAAACCTACATATTACTTTAATATGCATGTACTTAAAGTGGTTCTAGTGGATCTATTTTGTCATGTTAAGTGCAAGTTTAACACTTACAGGTATTTATTACCTCTTTAGATCGCAGTACTCTCCTGACAAATGCCTTCACACAGCTTTCAATCCAGAATGACGGGGCCATCTGTGTTTAGGCACTATGCAGGTATATAGTAAAGGAAAAATCCAGCTGCACGCCATTCCACGCTGAATCAGTTTATTGAAAGTTTTTCCTGCCTGATGTCCACTGAGGGGCAAACCTTGGGCAGGACTCGGTGTCACTGACGAACTTTCAATAAACTGATTCAGCGTGGAACAGAGTGCAGCTGGATTTTTTCCTTTACTATATAGCTGTTTGGTTTGAGTGAGGACACAGTCCTGCCATCACGCACCCAGCTGTCTTTCCCCTGCTGAAGCCATGAAGGTGTGATGTCTTATGCTTTGGTGTAACAGGCACAGGGTCAGCATCTGCGTCCAGGCCTGAGATGCTGGTTCAGAATGACCCGATCCTGTACTGTATATCTTGGTGCTGTGCAAATCTTGGCTGTGCTCACAAATCTCTGACAAAGATCAATCCCTGCTGCAGCTACTCACCATGTAACTTGCTCAAAAGTTGCAACATTACTGAGCACTGTTGGAGCAGAGAATGAGGAAATGCATCTTCTTGCCTGGATCAGATTGATGACATCATCTTAGCCAAGGACAAATCATTGACTAGCTCAAAGACTGCTTTTTAGTAAAAAGCTAGAGCTGTTCTAAAAAAAATACCGTTTCTGTATATCAGACAGAATGAATTCATGCAGATGTGTCATGTTTTTGAAAGGTCAACATTAACGTGAAAAATATATCTGATAGGTCTTATTTAAGAAATTTCCTCACGTATGTTATATTTATTCCATACAGCCATTAATGTAGCTTCTTTGTAAATGCAGCTTTTTAACGCATAGTGCAAATATCTCTGTAATTTATAAGATGATGGAAGATTATGTTCCTTTTAAACAATGTTGTTTTGTAAAAATGATTTACCAGATGCAGTGCCTCCAGAATATTAGAAAATCCCTTTCTAAGTGTGTTTTTATGACTTGCCGCCAGTTTTTACTCCTCGTTACATTCTCTTTGAGTTTTTGCCATATACCTAGCAGGCTCAGTGTGCAGCAATTTCATCTGCTACCTATTTTCTTCCCACCAGGGGACCATTTTTGTTGGCTTTGGGGAAATCGTGGCATCCAGAAGAATTCAATTGTGCTCACTGCAAGAAAAATATGGCGGAGATTGGCTTTGTTCAGGAGAAAGGTGCTCTCTATTGTGAAATTTGTTATGAGAAGTTCTTTGCACCAGACTGTGCCCGTTGCCAAAGGAAGATACTTGGTGTAAGTATTTTTTATCTTAAAAACTGCGTGGTGAATTGGGTTTCAGAGTGTCAAAAATAAAGTTGGCACTAATTTCATTAACATGACTTACACTTAATTTTTTTTTACATTCTTGTTTAAACCAAAGATCCTCTGTTTCTTTGAGTGAACAACACTTACCCGTAGATCATCTTTCTGAATAACTTATTACCAGCTGCTCCCAGTGTTTGTCTCTTCCATTGCTGCTCCTGTGACTGCATAGGATAGCTTTCGGAGTCCCTCAAGGTTAAAGCACAGTTGAACAATAACAGTGGATTGTGGCTAAATTATGGTTGCTGGGAGGTGTGGACAAAGTCAGTAACCAACACTTATAACCAATTCGCACATCCACTAATGTTTAAACCAGTTTTTAAAAAAAAGCTGTGTGCGAGTGGATTCTGATCATTCCCTTTACTACACAGAAAAGGAAAACAGGCTGACGTTGTGTTTTACCCAATGTCGGGCATGTCAAGGGGAATATCTGGATCCTATCGGCATATTGATGTGATTGAGAACAAGGAAAATCCTCGCAACATGTTTTTCTCAGTGACAATCTGACCGGTCTATAGCTAGTCTTAGGGAGACCATAGACCTAGAGACCTAGAGATCAGGTTGTCTAACCTATCTTGTCTGCTTGCAGTCTGCTGAGGAACGTTACTGTGCTTTTATCTAAATGTTGATCTGGATACATAGGGGTTGATTTAAGAGTAGTAAAGCATGCTCATGTGGGGAAGCTGTGCTGACTTTAATCATACAGTCCATCCAGTCATGTGCAATCAAAAATCCTGTGGTTTTTTTTTTCCTTTTCCTTGCATGCGATTGGGTTTTATTTGCGAAGTGAATTTTCACAATATTCACTAAGCGAAAATCCCTTTTGAAAAGTGAACATGCCTTTTACTCTTTTAGTAAATCAACCCCATAGTGTCTAAGACCAACTTATGGTTGTGTATGATAACCGCAAATGCAGTTGTGTGACCACATTGCAGATCCTGCTTGTTCAGTATCTAAGTAGTTCAGTAGATATATGCTAGTGGTTCAGTAGATTTTTTTTTTTTTTTAATCTGTAGTAGATCTTTAGGTCATATGTTCCTTCTGCCTGGCTGTTATGTCACTGCAGGGGCCAGAGGAACCACAGAGGGCTCAAGAACTGCTCTAGCCTGTCACTGCAAAGTGATGATGCATCAATTTACCAATAAGGTCATGCAACTGGTCTCTCCTTCTATCAGCATGTGTCTGTGTTTTGATTTTCACTACTGTTCAATGAAATATGGCCTCAGTGGATTATACATCTGCCCCTTCCTTTTACAGTTCTTTCGTGTGAAGCGTTGCAGGTGTCTAAAATAATGACAGACTGAGATAGGATTTTTTAAAATAAAATCATTACATTAAATATGAATCCTATATGTCCCTACAGTTCTTAAGTTCAAAGTGTAATAGGAGTCTTGTATATGTGACTACAGTCCTTAAGCTCAAAGTGTCATATTTTATATACTCAAATTCTAGATCTAGTATTCAGGCATGCTTTCAGAGCAATTGTGAACTATAGCAACTGCAGCAGACAACATAGACACTTAGGGCTATCTGCTTTCTCTGTGGAGACATTTGATCTACAAGTATCTGGTGCTTGTGTAATGATTTAGACGATCTGTGTAAGCCAAAGTGCCTTATCTGCAAATCGACTGCTTAAATAATAGGGAATTAATTAGGTAGTTGAGTCTCCTGAGCTTGCTCCAGAACCTTTTCAGACAGAACGTCCGTGTAATTTGGGACAATAGCATAAGGTATATTGTACATTACATGATGTGAATCCATTAACACTGCTCCCTGGTGCTTGCTTCTATACAGTAGATATATGATGGTTCAATGTGTCTCTTGCTGGTGTAGCTGGAAATGATCAGGGAGAAACCATATATCATAATAAACAGGCCCACAACTCCTTTGCATAGATTGTGTGTGTGTTTTATAGATAAGTCAGATGAAATCTGCAAAGACTTTGGCCAGTTCAAATGTGACGTTAATCAACTGTCTGCTACTAATGTTTATTCGACGGCATATCCAACCCAGCTGGAATAGTCATCTGTAAGAGTGCAGGAAACTTGTAACACTTCATCTTTCTTTCTACCAGTCTCAACACATTTCCTAACTATTTGACCAGCAACCCAATGAGAGCTATGTTTTTTTTTTTTAAATGAAGGTCAAGATTGCAGCAAAATCGCTGCAAATTGGTTAAGGTGTATAGCACATTAAATATTTGCTGGTTTTTATTTTTCACCATGCATTATTTTATAGGAATAATAATAGCTCTTTTTGGGTAAAATAATAGTTGGCAAGCCACAGCGAGAGACTATTCAAATTGAAACATAAAAAAATAACTGCCATACAGTGTGTGTGTGTGCGTGTATGTATATATATGTGTATATAATATATGTGTGTGTGTGTATATGTATATATAATATGTATGTATATAGTATACATATGTGTGTTTGTATATGTATATATAATGTGTGTGTGTGTATGTATGTATGTATGTATATATATAATGTGTATATATATATGTATATACACACACACACACACACACACACACACACACACACACACACGTGTGTGTGTATATAATTTTTCAGTTGCACCTGGAGGATCGAGACCCCCCTGGCCTATTGCAAACTCAATTTTTTGCTTCTGCCTGAATTCAAACACATTCATTATTTTTGCAAATACCTTTAAATTGGAAGGATTACCATCTAGTGCAGTGCCATTCCTTTTCTTAATTTTATATCCTGGCACCCCAGTTGTTGGCTGGCCATATGCTCTAAGCTGAAACTCTGACTCTTTCAATTTGTATCCCAGTCTTTATGCTTACAGCTTTCTCAAAAGGCAAGTGATCTGTCACTCATTGCTCATCTCGTATATGTATACGTATATTATTTTCCCGGCTTTTTTGCCACCTACATAAATTATGGTGCTAAATATGCCCCATAGGTTTGAAGATCTCTCATGCGAATTCATAAATATGGCACAGCACAGATGAAGTTGTTCAAATGCAGCTCCTGTATTTTATCTCTTGGTTAGGGCCATTAACATGCATTAAGTTCCATATATTATTAGAATGCAGGCCACAGAGCTTACAGTCTAAAATCAAACTAAAGGCCTGAGATTAGCATTGAAGAGTTACAACTCTACATGCCAGCACCTTGACAACCGCAACTTTATTGATCCAGAAAATTAATCTGCACAATTACCAGAAATAAACACTTTTTTAAAATGAAGAGTCAGCTGGGTTGTGGATGTTTCAATTATTAATTAGATTCTCATGTAACTGGTTCTTGAGACTCGGCAATTAAAGAAGAGACAATTGTCTGTAATATAAAGTGCAAAATACAGTGAGCGTCCACCATTTATATCCAAATCATTTATTGATTAACACTTCTTTTCTATTTAACTTTTATAGGAAGTTATCAATGCATTGAAGCAAACTTGGCACGTCACATGCTTTGTTTGTGTGGCCTGCAACATTCCTATTCGAAACAGCGTTTTCCATTTGGAAGATGGAGACCCTTACTGTGAGAAAGGTGAGTATGTCAGCAGAGCAAAACCCAACCCTTATTACACTCCATAGGACACTGAGGTCATGGAAAGAGACTTTCACTCTGTGGTGTCGGCTTTTTGACGCCACTTACCTTTTAACTAGATCCAATTTTCTACCAAATTGGTGCAGCCAAAAAAGGACAGGGCCAGGTTATGGAAGGCATATGTTGTGCTGCCATGTTGTACAGATTTTAGTAAAAACAACTAGAGTGAGCACATTGAGACTTTTTGCAAAATAAAACACTCATTCCTTAGCATCTCTGCAACTATCTACAAAGGGGAGTGAAAGAAGAAATACAGCCAATGGCAGAGTTTCTCTGTTCCAATATTAGATATAAGAGCTTCATTAGAGATGTAAACAGGTGAAAATGGCATTACCTTGCCATGACGGCTCCTGTCTTCTGTATTAGTGAAATAATATATTTTAATTTTTTTAGGAGTCGGTAGCACACAGACAAATTGCACCTATTATTATAATTTTTTTTACTATCACTATTATGTAAAAAAAAACAAAAGCAGCTCTCCCATACCACGTTTTGCAGCTTTTGTCTTTTGAGAAGAGATGCTCATGCTAATTTGTGATCAGATATGTCAAAGCAGGTTAAATTATATACTTATCTAACTTGATGTGTTTTCCATCACACAGGAGCACAGGTTTATTTATACAAGTTCTCCCATATTGTAAAAAGAAGTCATAGCATCATTCCTGAATCCCAAACGTGTAATTTAAGTGTATTCTAGAATCGAATAGCTTAAGCTGAGAGTAGTAGCAGTGCAGTGGCTACAAGATCTTGCCAGTGCACCATAAAACCTGCTAAGTACAGTGCATGTACTAATAATTACAAAGTGCCGGAGGCCTTTTAAAACTGTTTAAACATTTGCGACTCTAAGATGAATGTATTTATGTGCTACTTTTTTACCTGTACTTCTGGGATAACATGCACTGTTATTGGTCCCTGAGGAGTAGAGCAGGAAAACACTGCCTTAACTGGACTTGTTTTACATTCTATTATAAATGGTTTCAGGCTTTACTAAGGCAACTGTTGCTAGCAACTATTTCTTGCATTCTGTTTTTCACAGTCTTATCATATAGTCACAATATATATTCATAAGAGAAGACAGTCTTGGGTGTTAAACATCGGAATACTTGATAAATGTTCTTTAACAGAAAACCGAAAGTAAGCCTGTCACAGACCTAACATATTAAAACGAAGCATGTTGAGAGAAATACTTAATCAGATATAACCTTTAGCGAAAACTTAATGACAAAACAATCAGTAGATCCAGAGCTATAAGCAGCTGAAGTTAAATACAGATCTCAACTTTCCTTTTGAAGTTGATTTAATTATGCTGCTCCCACTTCTCAAGCCACCCTAACAGTATGATAGGCAGCCTCACTGGCCAGTAGGGAGACTGGAAAGACAGGAGGGGGTGGGATCAAGGTTGACTTTTATAGGAATCTGCAACATAAATTCTACATATACATGTTTTATATATACGTTTGTATAGCCCATGTTTGTTTGTATTATATAATAATAAATATTATTGGCAAGTAGATGCAAAGCATACTAGAGAATAGAAGATTAATATATAGACTGTATAGGGTAGGCATCATTTAAATAGAATGCATTTTACAAAGCAGTTTACTCCAAACTATTTATATGCATTTGTTATTGCTTTCCTTTGTAATCCACAATAAAGATAAATCATACACATTTATATCCACATTGTTAAAACAAAATTGTTACAAGCACTGGACTCTAAAGTTGATACTTGTTGAACATTTGTCTTTATGCTGCTTCTGGTATAGTTCTGTAATCTAGATTTACTGTTTCAGGGGATAGTATGTTTCCCCCAGAGTCTCTCATGTCCTGGTATTGAGACAGAGCAGTGCGTGTTTTCCATACACATATGGGATTCTGAGTTCTGAAGACAATTATTCGATTCTAACTATAAAACATATGTCTGTGTATCTTCATGGCTATGTACTCTTATCGATAAGGATCTCATAACTACAGATCTATGTGGAAACCAAGCTAAAGTGAGGTAGAATAATAGTCCTCGCACAAAAAGGTTTAACATTACCTCACTGTTTGCCATTGAAGCCCATCTTTATCATTTTCTTTCTGTGTTCTGATGTTACAGCAGACTTTTCTCTCTCAAAACAGTGCATTAAACCTTCTTGTGTCTGGTTTGGTAAAGATATCCATATTTTCATATATTTCTATCTTGTTTAGATTATTATACCTTATTTGGTACGATGTGTCATGGATGTGAGTTCCCTATTGAAGCTGGAGACAGGTTCCTGGAGGCACTGGGAAACACATGGCACAACACTTGCTTTGTGTGTTCGGTGAGTACTAAAACATAATAACAAATGAGATTACAATGTATGTCCCTATAAGCATAAAGATAAAATAGATCAGGAGTAGATTGTCTAACTAGTCATTATTGGGTGATGCAAGGTGAGAATGTGAAAACATGTTACGCAACAAAGTGATTCTAACCAGAGATTCTTCAGTTCCACATTGTCCTCTACAATACTGCTGGTATTTCTTTTTCTTTATTTATTACTATTTTTTCATTTGCTTATCTGAAGATTTCAAGAGCAAAGGTTTAACAGTCACCCCTTGCTTTTATCTGTCTGGTGATAATCGCAATAGTTAAGAGCATACTGTGGGAATCATAGTTGTCATGGTTATTTGTGGAATTTAAAAAAATCTGTAATATTTAAGTGTTTGTTATTTAACAGAGTCCTATGCATTCATATTGTAAGATAAGCTATTAAAAAGATTGTACAAGTTTATACGGCAGTGCAAAAAGATACTCCTAGGTCTACTGAGATTGTTACATTTCAAGCGTTTATATAAAAGAATCTTTGGTACTGTTAGCCCATGTGCGTTTAGTTTTTCATGCTGATTTTTTTTATTTTTTGTAGGTATGTTGTGAAAGTTTGGAGGGACAAACTTTTTTTGCAAAGAAAGATAAACCACTATGCAAGAAGCATGCTCATGCTGTGAATATCTGAAGGCTTTTTCAACCCCATCTTTTCACGGAATATAAATGCTCCATCATATGTTAATATCAACACAACTGGGATGATGTAATTGTATTCCTGTTTATATAACATATGAAATGTAACAGGAAAACGTTTTCTAAACAATACAGTGGGCTTGCATAATCTTTACATTTAACATAAAATACAATCCTTTTATTTATTAGGATTTAAAGTGACTCATACCATTCTAGAGTACCTGTGTGCACTATACTGTTTTGGGTTCTTTATTGCTCCCTTTCTCATGTTACAGCTTTTTAGCAATCCCTAGATAGTAACTGTAAAAACTCTGTGTACAAATCCACTTTACTTGCTTTCACCTGAGTTTCATTCATCCCTCCTCTTACCATTTGGCTTGAACCATTTTTGTTCTTTCTGTTTGCTGACTGCAGCCAGTAGAAAAACATATTTCCAGCCAATTGGGAAAGAAGGGATGATACCATTGTATCCAGACACACTACGAAAGAAGTAACTTTACCTTCAGCACTCTGAGTTCCATTCTTTGTTTTTACAGCTGCTGTCTAGGGATTGCTAGAGATGGAGAGAGGAAGCAATACAGAGTTTACAGCATCCTTTATGCACAAATACTGTTAGATAGAATTGCAACAAAAAAAAGTTTATTTTAAATTTCTACATACTGTATATGATCTATCTATCTTTTCTTATATTAGCATTATTAAAAAAATAGCATTTTTAAGAGAGGGAGAAACTGATTTCTTTTTTTATTATTCTAAGCAGTGTTGATTCATGCCATTCCCTTGCATATTTCTAATTCTGCCGGATCTCAAAAACATGAAGGCTTGTAGAATATTTACAAAGTTTGCCAAAAAAGATTTGATGTCTGAAAATGACTCAGATAATTAGTTATTTTGACACAGAGCATGGGTTTTTCTATACGCTTGTAAATGTGGATATTCGTTTTTAAAAGCCTGCATCTAAGTTAATATCTTAAACAACATAATTAGAATACACAGGTAGTTGGGTTATTTTGTTACTATGCAGATTTAAATTACTTTGCAGAGGTAAATTTCCTATATTTATTTTTCAAAGAATATTGTATAAAGCGGGGCATTTTCAACTGTAACATGCCTTACAGCAAACAGTTAATGTTACTATAATTCTTTAGAAATGTATTGTAAGAATAGCTAAATGGAAACTTTAGTAAGGTTCATGAACATTTTTGAGCTTTATATATAATATATATAAATAAGCATGCTTACGAGTGTTAATGGACCTTTAGTCTTTGACATTAATTTTCCACTATTACAGTAGTGTAATAATATTTTTAATCACTGTCTAAAGAAAGTGAGAAAGTGTTGGAGTAAACCAGCCCGTGCGTACAAAACCTACCAGGCCACAATTTTGTTCATCACAGAGCAATAAAGTTAATAACTTGGCACTACTGGCAGCCCAGTAGTTTTAGACATCAAATATAAAGAGACTGTAGAACATTCTGTAGTTTAATGTCAACTGAACCAATTAAACAGCTCAAAGTTCACTTTAGCTGAGGAATTTAACCAAACATACTAACCCCTCTGGCAAAAGCCATATATGCCATTTAGCTAGCCTAGCTCTTTTCCTATGCCTCGGACCAGAACTGTATTGTGCAGTCAAGAAACAATGGCAAACTGGCACAAAAAAGCCATTGGTGTTAATTTCTTAAGCGTAGACGATCACTAATCTGTGTACACTTTTTATTTATAGTCAAGTGGACATTCTCTGCTCCATTTAATCAACTCCACTGAGTAGGGCAGTGAACTAAAAATTTACTTACAAATGTTGCATGTGTTAATGTACATTGTTTTGGAATACTTGGGGTCTATTTATAAACAATTTGCAAGGACATTCACCTTGTGAATCTCTGTAAACGTTCAATATGTGTGAATAGAAGCAAAACAAATGATGTTGGTATATTTTCTTTTTGGGTCACATGTAATGTAATGCCACAATATGGCCACTAGATGGAGCTCAGGAGCATAGGAAGTATTGCCTATGCTCTTCAGCTCCAACTAGTGGCTATAATTACATTACATTTGACCTGAAAAGAAAATATTTGGTTTTGTCTCTTTTCACACAGAACAAACATTTACAAAGATTTGCAGGGCGAATGACTCTGCAAATTGTTTATAAATATACCCCTCCTTTTGAGTATGCCAAAGAGTGTGCACCAGCCAAATTAAAAGCTTTATAGTTAAATCTTTTACAAAGCTTGGTAAAAGCTGGAACCTTAAAGTGTTAGCATTGTGAATATGTGTATGAACAACAAACTACACAAAAGACAAACAGCAGCTAATAGCACAATAGCAAGCTACATGTAATGAACAACTTGCATAAGAAATATACACATGCTGAATTAGCGAACAGTGGCATCATTATGTGATCTGATACCTGCTATTGTGTATGGGTCTCCCAGATGACATTGTGCATAATTTTTGGACAAGTATGTAGAAAGTCAAAGATAATAAACACAGCAAGCTCAGATGTTTGCCGCTTGGGTCTGTACTTTGTCATATATGTATGTACCTGGAAGTCTTTCATTTTGAGGAAATGTATTCTTGTACGTTGTGTCTTAGAACATTCCTAGTCTATTTTGTATTCCTGAATGTATTTTTTAGGGAAAGACCATTTAGATTTATTTAAAGGGCTCAGCATACATTTTATGCTAAGCCTGCTTGTGTTCTAGTGTTGTTGTTATGCTTGGTGCATTGTTTTAAGGGAATATCCAATCGTGGTACATAATTTATAACTGGTTGAGCAATCTCCTTTATTTTGCATTGTAGATACATATGTTAAGAAGGCTTTTTAAAGGTATACTGGCACTTGGCAAATTAACGGGCAAAGTGATTTTGTCTGTGTAAAGCTTTCACCCCTCCCCCCAAAAAATATATTTGTACTCGCCTCGCCCACTGTCAGCACAGCAGAATGACCAATGCTTGTGGGTGTAGGAAAGCATGTGACCTATTCCCCTGATGGAGTGTTCAAAAAGGACCAGTCACTAGGCCCAAGCACTATCACATGATGCAGAGGTTGCCGTCACCATTCCCGTAAGCCCTGATACAGGTTTTTTGTTGGCCGTGGTGAGAATTGCTGGAGAGGTTAGTGTTAATGTGACACTAAACTCTGGAGATAAATTTAAAAAATGCATTTAAGTCCTTGGTACCCAGCTAGTGGGTCGTGACCCAACAGTGGGTCACGACCCCTTGTTCAGTGAGTCACCGCATGCCTTCCACTTCTTTAGGTGAGAGGCCGAGTGTCAGCTTGGGGTGGGATGGGGCAATGGCCGTGAGGGAGCTCCATCCATACGTGCTTTGCTTACAGCCCCCTTGCGTGCCCTGTAGACGTGTCTGGACTGGATTGATGTCACATTCTGGCTTCCAGGCACCTCTACAGGACATGCAAGGGAGCTGTACAAGCAATGAACATATGGATAGAGATCCATCACAGCACAGCAGCCCACTGTGGACCCTAGGATGAGGATCCACTCCTGTTCTCGTAAGATAGGGAGACTGGGTGGATCTTAAAAAAATAAAATAAATAATATTTGGGGAGTGTGTGTGTGTGTGAGAATGTCTGTGAGATTGTGTCTGTCAATGTTTTTGAGGGCCTGTTCACACTAGTACAGTGCGTTAAATCGCACAATCCCGTGCGATTAACACAGTGTACCACGCAATCGCACCTACCACACATTCTGGTGTTGCATTGCCATTCATTCCCACCCACAGTTCGATCGCCCGCACCGGAACGCGTGGTACAGCAATGCCGTGCATTCCATTGCAGCGCAATTCGGGTCCTGACTTAATGACCAAGGACAAATGTGGGTCTTGAGGTTACACAGGTTGAGAACCACTGATTTAAGTATCACTCTGCTCTAGATCGTCAAATCATCTCTGAATTGATGCCGACACTGTCCTTCCTTCTGGAGGGTGGCTACTTTTGTTCCCCATGGTGCCTGTGCATCTTGTATAGTAACCACCGCTCAAAGATTGCTCCAGTTATGGACTACAACTTCAATACAAATTAGCTAACTAAATGTGAGATTGTACTCCATTACAGTAGTGAGCTTGGAGTGGTGGCTTCTTTGCAACACAGAGGGACCATGGGGAACAAAATTAGCCTCCCAGCAGAAGGAAGGACAGTGTCAACTCCGATTCAGAGATGATTTGAGCATCTAAAGCTGAGTGATACACAAATAAGATACATTTGTGTTAGGAGTTACATCTTAAAAATGCATTTAAGTACCTTAAAGTGACCCTAAACTCAGGAGTTAAGTGGTTGAGGGGTGGAACTTACACAGACATTGTCACTTTGCCCTGAATAGCAAGGTGACTGTGTTTCGTTTAATGTTCAATGTCAAGGGGTTAAGGTTGTCCATTGAGCACCTTTTGAAACGGCATGTTTGAAATAGACAAAATGGTCTTTGAGATACTGATGACCATGCTTTAAATGTTTCATTGCATTTTAATGTTTTTGCACTATTGTAGGAATAGTTATATATGTTGATAAAAAATTTTAATAATGCACACTTCCTTGCTTTCCTAAAAAATTAAGTGAACTATGTATGTTATTTTTATCTCACCGTACTCTTACTTCTAGAAATAAAATCACTATTCCATGGATGTTTGACAGTTCACATTCCTAACAACTTTGACAGGCTTTACACATATTAACTAGTGATTTTTATTCGACAAGTGTCCATGTGATGACCAAAACTGAATAGGGAATAGTGCTTATATACTGCAGGGTGTATATATATATA